TTGACCCAATGATAGTATGACCACACAAGCTTGAACGATACAAATGCCTTTTTGGTAGAAATGTATGCGTGGGCATGTCCTGGCCAACATGATAATTAGCCAGTCAAAGTTTTAGATCGATAATTATCTTGTTCATTATCTTGAGTGCGTTTGAGGCATGGTTCAGCTAATTAGTACGACCATATTGTTTAATGCATGCCAATACAAATGTTCCCTTGATGTTTTGTAATCGATAGTCCAGATACCAATACATGCCATGTTGTAAGCCCTCTCAGTATCTAAGTCAGATACATGCATGTAGATGCATTATAATGTCAGGGCTGAAATACCTGTACTAGATGCATATGCACTTTGTGTACCCAGAATTGGAGCTGTGCACCTAATTGTTGATTGTGGGTGCACTAGTGCATCTGTGTTTATTTGGTTTACCTACATGTGCATGTATGTAAAGGTATTGTATACAGTATATTCCTTACATGTGTCAGAAGAATGAATATTTGCTGTATTACTATAGAATTTCACAAAAGGTTATATTTTATAGAGGATTGAAAATTCAAGAAATCGTATATACACAATATTACCTACATGTGTTAAAGATTCCAGGAATATGATCAGTGGTTCTGCAATAATGCAGAATGTCAAAATTTTGTTCTGCAATTCAAAAATACTTTTTGAAAATGCACACTTAAAAATGGGGATCTAAACATGGCATATACAACATTGCATGTTGGCAAACATTTTACATGCAGTTTGAAAAATATATGCAAAATTACTTGTATATTATAGAGTTAATAGTAACACAAAAGCTCCATTGAACCCCTTGCATGATTTTTTCAGTCTGCACAGTTGCAGGTTGCTTAATTTTTGTTCCGTAATGTTGAAATTGTCTCTGCAAAATGCAGACTGCAGATGGGTATTTCTAACGCTGAATGACGTAAATTGAATTATTTGTCAACCATAGTTTGACAGCAAGGCGTCACTATTCAGAGGGAGCAGTCTACATGTCTGCTATCAGTATCCTCCTTTGAAGTACGGCTCATATATGTGGATCAACTTGACAAACGACCAGATTTTTCTGATGGTTGCTGAAGGCTTTTGTTGCTTGGGCTCATACATTTTCTGTGACATAAGTCTTTGCAGGTTGTTAACTTCACAAAGGGACTGGTAGACGATACGAGGTTGCCCTTGTCAGGATAAAATACTACCACTAGTTCCTTGCCTGGCCTTAGTCCTTTGGTATGAGGTAAAGAAATAAAGTATATTATCTATATGTCATTCTGCAAAGCCATTGGTTAGAAGCATACCTACATAACAGGTGTACCATCTGTCTAAGGATTTACCCAATCTTCTACTTTGTTTCATGCATGAGGAGCTCTTTAAAACGTACCATACTGTACTTCAATTCCCAAAACTTTTAACCATGTGGTAACAGTTCAATACTATCACTTAATGGTAGATTAGTTCTTCTCTACTCAATATGTCTTTGGCCATGGATCGCAGTTGTCCAATCAAGCCACAATAGTACTCCTGAGACCATTAAACTGTGTTGTGATATTCCTCACTACCAGTGTATACCCCAATGGGATATCTCCTTACATTAAAGTGTGACCATCGTTTCCCTGAGTATCCATGCCATAACATATTTCTCATTCTCCCCATGCCTGTGGCACTGTTTGTTCATTTGCGTAGAATTGCAACAAGGAAATTTGAAGCAGCAGCCCCAATTCAATGCTACATTAGCTTCCCAAGTCATTATGATGTGAGATAAATCCGTGATTTGCTTTCCTCCTGTCTGAGCACATAGGCAACCATTAAAGAAAGCGGGCCTTAATTCCTTTTTGATTGCGATGCCAAGGAAACCCATACGAAGGATTTCAGTGCTAAGTCAACTGTAGCAAAATACAATGTTTATGTATTATCCACAACAAATTGATATGTGTGGTGTGCATTTACCATAAAGTTTAGTCTTAAGTGAACTGAAATATGAAGCTGAATGTCAAGTGAAGGCTTTCAGAAAGTTCTTCTTACATGTATTATAATATTTCAGCAGTTAAGCATCATGTAATATTTTGGGGGAACCTTTGTAGACTATTTCATGGGTCCCATTGCATGCTGGGAGATGCAAGGCACTACGGGTAGTGCTGGAAGCAAAACAAATTCTCATTACAGTGACACAACATGAATTACATGATTAATGATGATGAAAGCATAAATTAGTCCAAACGCTTCACACATGTACAGTTTGTGCATTGTCATGTTGTTTGGGACATCTGAGATCTATTTCTTGTTACTATGCCACAGACAGGTTGGAAGAAAAGAAAACATTGCCTACAGTTATAGTGATCGAATTAAAAAGTATGTTTCAACCATACAGACTGTACATGTACATATGTCATATGGGAGCCTGAAGGCTGTCACTACAAGCAGTAAATTCTAAGGATCAATATTTTCATCCTAGCCAGGGGATCTTTGTGGTGATATAATTATTTATCGATTAAGTCTTGACAGTGTGATATATCAAGGAGGTACATGTATGAATGAATAAAGTCTATTGCGCAAGAGTTGTACAAAGTACATACTGTAGTATGGCCCATTTTGACATTTTTGTAACATTTCTAAGAAAGTGGTCTTTCTGTTTGTTCGCAGAACCACCCTCAAGTGTAACACACCTGTTTTGTGTGTTACCGTCTATCCGAGAGGACACATCCCAAAGCTAGGTACTCAATTTCACCTCGCCAGTGAAGAAAGTGGTGTAACTGTAAAGTGCCTTTCCCAAGACCACAACATGGGGGCCTGGAAGGGATTTGAATCCAGAACCTTCGGATTTTGAGTCAACAACCCTTACCACAAGGCGATTATATCACCACTGTTATGTTTTGGTGAATGATCCTACTTCCCCTCTTGTCTGATGACTTCCCTCTAGTGGCCCACAGGAAGTCTAAAGGTTTCCTGTTCTGTTTCCCCAGGTGCCCTGCAGAATACCTGAGATACCTGCAGACAAGAAGTCAGTCCACTTGTCCTGTTAGTGGTCCTGACCAGGTGTCAACATCCATCACCCTACACGGTAAGTCAAAATACCTTTCGTTTGTTCACCAGACTTCATGATCATTGGTGTCTTCAGGCTTATGTTGTTTCATGTTTCTGTGGGAAAGAAAGGAAACAATGCAAAGGCAGCTGAAAAGGATCCTTTCTCGTATGTTATTAAATTATCATCTTTAATGAAAGTTTTACGAAAGGTTTTGAAACATTCACCCATACATGTATACAATTTGTTAGTTCCTGTCAACATTCAACTACGAGAAGTATTATTTAATCAACAAAGATGTTTGTACAAAATAAACAACCTTCTGATGTTAGCAAACATCAAACCTTACAAATCATATTTTCAGTTCTAGATTCCTGTTGCCAGGTGATCCAATTAAATTCACCAGTGATGTCATGGTGAACATAGCAGCTGGTTTGGAACCCAGCACCAGCAAAAAACTTCTGTTGACTTGAGAAGCTTAGTTCGATGTTCCCTAACACCACAAGGATGTTGATGTTGTGTACAGTTCATTGAACAATGTTATCAGGAACTGTTGTATTTCAGGTGGTGTAAGCACCTTACAGGTAACAATGACAGGCACAGCACTGTCTGTCTGTAACACTCCTGCGAAGACTGATAAATATAATCCACCTTTCTGGCACTTATTGTATCAGTGCCGACAACAAGAATATCCCAAGGTAGCAGGATGGATGTGGGCTCAGAAACCAAAAGCCCATCCACCCCCCAGGGACCCCCAGATATATAGCACAAATTACTCCTTGCTACATTAGTTTTCCACACCGTGCTAAGCACCAGATAATGATATATCTACTCACTGCACGGCTTGTAAAAGAAAAGGGCAGGGAGAATGGAGAAATTTGTCTCTCTTGTTCTTCAATACGTCTGGACAGCAATGAACATGACAGCCACATACATCAGTAAAACACCAGGTATATATATCAGGGAGGATGTAAGGTGGGCCACATTTCCGCGAACCTGATGTTACAGGAGGTATCTTTGTTACCTCTGTGTGTGGAGGTCTTGTTTTTGATACGTCTGTATTTGCTTGTGTTACCACATGGTAGGCTCATCAGGCACATTGAGAGGAAGTTTGGCCAAAGGTCCCAGAAAATGTTATTTATTTAGGTCATTATTTTCCTGCTATATCCATATCTTCTCTTATGGGAGCCAGTGTGAATTTACTCAAACAGAATCAGAATTAAATTCATCATGAATAAACAAGAAATTCACAAAAATATTTCAAGGAGGTCTGACATCTTTGGTATCTTGTATTTTTTGGGTTCTGTATTCATGCACACATTCAGTTATAGGTAATAGGTGTGTGCTGAAAGCATGGTGATACATTAGTCAGTCTCATTGTCTCTGAACCAGCACGGTTTCCTGATAGGTTAATTTTGCAGGTACCTCCTATCCTGACACAAATGGGTTATGGTTGATGAACGACATAGCATTCAGTATGCCTTCCAGCATTACCTCTTCGGTTTGCTGACATTTGCAGACCAGAAGAGGTGATTACATTTAGTATCAAATGTCCCTAATACCAATTTGGCTGGCGTGTAATGGGCAAAGCTTGTCCTGGCATATTAGTGACCTCATAAATGGCAAACCACCATAGGGCAAAGATTTTCACTGATCGGCCTCATCATGTAAAATGAGTCAGGCTAAAAGGACTAGTGTTGATCTGCTGTGAATGTTCTGCTGAGGTAGCTGCTAATGATTGTATGTGGACTGAGAGTTTTACAAAGGTCAGAGTTCGGGGTGGATGGTAAATGTTCAGGGCATGACGTCAGTGACTGGGAGCCTAACCAGATGGTAGGTGCCATGGTAAGTCGCTGGAAGGACCCATTTAAAATCATCACCTCCAGGAAGAATGGAAATCACAGTTACATATTTTGTGTCTGAAATTTAGATATTTTCAGAGCACGGTCACATTCTTTGTAGACTGTGATAGGATTTTGATGGGGTAGAGTTTTCAAGTGGACTGTGCCAGAACCAACCGCTGAAAAGGATCCGAAACTGTCACAGCCATAACAAAACAGATTAATTTTGTACAACAATGCACAACTATCTCACAAATTCCCTGTTTTTGATCTCGAAATTACCTTATTACTTATGTGACTGAGCCTATATAAGACTCAGAGGTTCTTACCTATATCTCCATTTTTAGTCTTGGGTTATCTATTACAGGCTGTAGCTGTTTTTTCACATCCTCTTGAGTCTTCAGGATAGTCTTTGAGTATTTAGTCATGCGCATTCTTGTGACTTACTCGTCGGCGCCATCCTAAGTTAGCAGCAGCCAGACACAATCAGCTGTAGCCAACTCCAGCGGTTCTCAGTGAGCCGCATTGACTTTAGCTGCGTCTTACAGAGGGTCAAAGCTACTTATAGCGTAGCATTCACGGCAACCAGCTAGACTCCTTTTGAAAGTTTCTACTACCTCTCTGAAGGTCGATGAAGGTTAGACATCCAGGTAGAACATTCTTCTTCTTTTGTCAGACTCAGCTGAAAAGAGGCATGATGCTTTTCCAAGTACCTACAAAATGTATTACTAGTGCAATGTGACTTCACCATAGTAGACTACGGCACAGGTTTTTAGCCAAGCACACTGGATTACCCTGACTCTTCTCAATAAGTGTGTTAAATAAGTTGGGTTCTTTTAGATGGGTTCTTTAAGATCCTCTCGAATGTATAGGTTCTTTGCATAAGATACAATGTACATGAAATCTAGATATACATTCTGTGAATGTTATGACATAACTTTGTCACATTATTCAGGTACAGGTACAGGCAGTTGTGTCTAATCCTGTACCTGTACTTGATCTTAGGCACAATGTTACTACAAGAATTCTGGTGAAATCAATGTGCCGCAAGTGTCCTCCCTGGCTTACCCTTAGTGCTGTAAGTGCCGACACAGTGTGAGATATCCCTAATAGTACCGTCCTTCACATCCATTAGATAGTTCTAATGTTACCCTGTCTGGGAGACCTCCTTTTTGTCTGTAATGGCAAATGTACATGTCCAGAAACTAGAGTTAACGATAGCTGTGGGATGAAGGGAGAAATAGCTGGAGGAACCACCACCATTCATTGCATGTGTGCCATACTTTATAGATCCCTTCATAATCCTCAATGTTGATATCAGCTAGCCGTTGAAACTTATCTTAATACCTGAAGTATGGCTGCTAAACATGAATTTGTCCAAGCCTGCTGATTTGGGCAGTCTTTCTTGATTCTCTAAAACATGTTCAGGTAAGTCAGTGATTTTTCAGTCCATTCCTCCTTGTTAGCCGGGGGTTTCTATTGGGTGGCAGGCCAGCAAGGTGACTCGCTTGTGATTAGAGAAGCTGGAAGTAACATGATTTGCAGCCTGGATGGTAATGGAAAAAAGATTATGGCCAATTTTGGAGCAGAAGGGTAAAATATGCAATCATGCCCCGCTGGCGCCATGTGAAGAAGAATGTATGAATGTTTCCGTGGAGGCACCAGTTGTTTTGGAGCCCTGCCGTCTGTCTGAAAGCGACGCGACGGCAGTCTCCAGACCCTAACAACTGTAGCCCTTTCCAAGACTGTGCCTTTGTCAGGTTGTGACGAGTACAAAAATAGCCAACCTCCCGCAAAGGCCTTTACAGAGCAAGAAGTGTGTATAATAAGGCGTTAGTAGTGTTCAAGTTCGTCTTGGTATTGCTTAGTATGGTGGCCTTGCTAAGTTTGGTGGCACAGAGTTGCGTTCCAATGATAAACAAGGTTCTTGATGATTAAGCAAGAGAGGAATGGAATGCACAGGAGTTATGTGAAACGTGCAGGTTTGTTTCTTGTTCTTGAAACATTGACTGTGGTTGGGTGTTATGCTTTCAGTTGTGTGTTATTCTTTCATGTGTGACAGTGACTGTGTTATGTTTTCAGTCAATCTTACACTCTCATTGCTTCCCACAATGTCTGCTTTGGCACAGTCTCTTGGATCTTGGAGTCTGAGCTTGAAATGAACACATAAAAAGACATCCTCCAGATTGGATCATGCAGTTGTACATTAATCGTGGTTTAACTGGATTTGCTGCCATATGCTGTGGAATTAGGTCACAATTTTTAAACTGACAATTGTAGATTTATCACCTGGTTTACATTCATGTTTAAGTTAGATATTGTGAAAATGTTCCAGATAAAAAATGCACGAGCCCACAGAATCCAGCCTTGCAGACTGCTTTGTGCAAATTTCAATGAGATGCCCAGGATTGTGGTGCGCTCAATTGTGATGCCAGCATGTGGTACAGAATGTTGGATGGCTTGGGGGTTAGAGGTCAGCATCACAAGGTCAAGTGTTGCTCTGGTGCAAATGGATGTCATCCTGTTTGGCACCTTGTACTCACTCACATGCAGCAGCCAATAATGCCTCAGCCATCCTCCCTTCTACACATCAATTCCCATGTCTTGGCATGTTTTTTCTCCATAGAGTTGATGAGATATTCAAAATGTCCAGAAAGTTTAGACATTAAACTGTCGACCAGTTTGCCATGTTTGGCAGCAAACCTCGGAAATTTTAGTTTTGCAATCAAAAGTTTTCCAATCTGTAAATCGATAATAATGGTACTACATGTACCTTTGTTGTACATGTACAAATGTACATTCATCCTCTATCAGGCTAAGAACAGGTATGCAAATGCAAAAGTAGTAAAGCACACAATGTTGACTGGACTTCTAGTAATCTAAAACATGGGTTATGGTACACTACTACTAGTATACTGCAAGGTTTGGCTTTTTCTTGACTTTTGGTGATGTCGAATATATGTTGAGATGGTCTGAAGTGGTCAGAATGTAAAAGAGATGCTAATTTTTTAGCAGTAGTCATGAGTGATCATTAGAACGTTCCCTGTATATTGCTTGAACGTCCTCTGGCAATGCCTGTCACATTGGCAGTGAACGTGGCTGGGAGCAAGCCGAAGGTTAAGATTAAGTATTCCACGGTATGTTCAGATGTATTGATTGAATCCCCAGATTACGGCGATGCCCCCCCCCTAGCAAGTC